ATCCGAGCCTACAATCAAAGTGGCACATATTGATGATGTATCCGAGCCCACAATCAGATTGAACCACCTACTAAAGGTAGTTGATGGAACCAAACCAGGTGTATACTTCACAAAACAATGCTTGGAAAATCTCCCAGGTGTGAGAAAAAGGAAGAAGGATTATGTTTATACATCACTTTTCATGAGAGTTGTGTATAAACACTATCTTTATAGATACTTTGAGGATGGTCACCTCACGGGCAATGGTAGTAAAGTGAAGGATTCAAGAAAGATTCCAAGTAAAACAGTCCGGGTTGTAAGGGATATCAAAGAGGCTTATTTGGATGATGTTATCACAAAGATTGAATTTAAAGAAGGGGAAAAGCCGAAGATCCATTTGATGCATTGTGATGATGTTGAAGTAAAGATGACTAGGCTTGACAACTATTTGGATTATGAGGAGAGCTTAGCACGCAAGGGAATCACATTCACCACCGAATGCCTTAATTCTCTTCCCGAGGCAACTCTAACGGAGCAAGGGTATGAATTCTCCTCTACTTTTATAACATATGTTTATGATCCTTTCCTTGCTAGGTATAGGGGTTGTGAGGAATATAGGCAATGGAAGAGAAGCCAATGGGAAATGACTAGGTTGCACAAGAAGAAGGGGAAGAAGACCAAATAAGTTTTTTATGATAGTTACATAATGGAACGTCAGGGGGCTGAATCAAGCCTCGAAACAAAATACTATACTAAATTTCATAAGGGTTAATAAGGTACGTATTATTTGTCTTCTTGAAACTAAAATGTCCATAACTAGTTTTGCTAATTTCATGCAATTTAGAATGCCAAATTGGTCATATGTGACAAATTTTGATAAAATTGGTGGTGGCCGTATAGCCATATTGTGGGATCCATGTTATGTTGATGATGATGTTTTGGAAATTGATACTCAACATGTGCATGCTAGATTTAGGTGTAAAATAACGCAAGTTTATTTTTATCCCTCATTTGTGTATGCTTTGTATATGGTCATGGAAACAAGAGTGTTATGGGACCATTTATCAAGGCTAAGTACAAATGTTCTTGGACCTTGGGTTGTCATGGGGGATTTTAATTATGTTGGTGCCCCTCATGAAAGAAGAGGATCAGCCCCTCCCACGGGTTACTTAATGAAGGATCTCAATGAGATGAAAATCCAAACTTATCTAGATGATGCCTCTTCAACGGGTGAATTCTACACTTGGAATAGGGGTGCCATTTGGGCTAAGTTAGATAGGATTCTCGTTAACCCTACTTGGAGTGCTCAAGGGATATCATGTAGAGCACATTTCTTTGAAATGGAATGTGAATTTGATCATGTGGCTGCCTTACTAAGTATAGGAACTACAAACAAAAGTGGATCTAAACCTTTTAAGTTTTTCAACATGTGGATGAAGCATGACCTTTTTCTTGGTATTTTAGAGGATGTTTGGAATAGGAATGTTGGGGGACAGCTCAATTTAGACTGGCCCGCAAACTCGAACTCCTAAAACAACCTCCAAAACAACTAAATTTTGATGAGTTTAGTCACATTCGGCGAGAGCAAAGGAATCTAAAAAGGAGTATAAAAGAGTATATCAATTTGCTCTTTTAGATCCTCTTGATGATGCTCTTAAGGAAGAAATGAATTTTGCAAAGAAGAGTGCCTTATTTCTTAAAGAGGCCGAGGAAGCCTATCTTAAACAAAAGGCTAAGGCTGTTCATTTAATACAATCGGACATATGTACTAAGTATCTCCATTCAATTGTGAAAAAGAAACAAGCACAAAACTCTATTGCATCCATTCGGCTACAAGATGGGTCTCTCACCCAATCCATTGACCAAGTAGCAAATGAGTTTATTAGCTTTTTCAAGGGTCTTTTTGGTACTTCTTTATCATCTTTTGGTTTTGATGCTAATATTTTGGATTCGGGAAATAAAATAGACCAAACACTTGTGGATGACCTTATTAGACCCGTGTCTGATTTGGAAATTAAAGAGGCTGTTTTTGACATAGGAAATGAAAAGGCACCTGGTCTGGATGGATACTCATCAACTCTCTTCAAATCAAATTGGGGAATAGTGGGTGAGGATGTATGTGCTGCCGTTAAGGAGTTTTTTGAGTCAGGGAATATGTTGAAACAGGTTAACCACACTGTTGTTGCACTTATTCCTAAGACTAACCATTCTCCCTCGGTTTCTGACTTTAGACCTATTTCGTGTACTAATGTGACTTATAAGATAATCACCAAAATTTTAGCATCTAGGCTTGGACCTTGTCTTTCTAGTGTAATTGATCCATCACAAGGTGCTTTTGTAGATGGTAGATTAATGACAGACAACATATTTCTTGCTCAAGAACTTGTGAGGGGATATGCTAGAAAGAGAGTTTCTCCTAGATGTATGATAAAGGTAGACCTTAAAAAGGCTCATGACACTGTATCTTGGGATTTTCTTGCAAATGTTTTAAGAGGTATAGGGTTGCCGAACATCTTTGTGAATTGGATAATGGAATGTGTCACTACCTCATCATTTTCCATATCCATAAATGGTGTACTTCATGGCTGGTTTGAAGGAAAAAGAGGCCTTAGGCAAGGGGACCCCATGTCTCCTATGTTATTTGTTTTATGTTTGGAGTACTTGCCTCGAATGTTAGCTATTAGGACCTCAAATCCTAATTTTTGCTACCATCCTTTATGCTCCAAACTAAAGATTTCACACTTAGCTTATGCGGATGATTTGATGTTATTTTCTAAAAGGGAACCTAGATCTATAAAGATTTTGGTGGATTCTTTGGATGACTTTGGTAGGGTCTCGGGCCTTATGGTCAACCAAGATAAATCAAATATCTTTGTAGGAGGTAACATTGCAAACAAACTACCTCTTATACTACAGATGGTAGACTTTCAACATGGATCCTTTCTGGTAAGATATTTAGGTATTCCGTTGGCCCCTTTAAAGATCTCTGTAGCCTGATTCTCTCCTTTGATTGATACGGTTACAGATTATTTTAATGCATGGAATACGAAGTCCTTATCTTATGCAGGGAAAGTTGAGTTGATAAAGTCAGTAATACAAGGTGTGCAAAATTTTTGGCTAGGTATTTTTCCGGTTCCTAAAACCATCTTGGACAAAATTGTGAGCCTTTGTCGCATATTCCTTTGGGGGGAAGCATGCTAAGGTGGCATGAGAGGATGTTTGTTTACCAAAAAAAGAATGTGGTTTAGGAATTAGGGACACTAAAGTGTGGAATAATGCCTTATTGTCCCGAACCTTATGGAATATTCATTCGAAACAAGATACTTTATGGGTAAGGTGGGTACATGGTGTCTACCTCCATGGTAGAGACGTGTGGACCTTTATTCCACACAATAGGGACTCACAATTGATGAAAAGAATGGCATATATCCGAGACCAAATTGTTTCTAAATTCTCGTCTATAACCGAGACCATCACTTGCCTTGGAAAGATGTCTTCCAATGGTAGGCTCTCCTCATCCAAGGTCTATGATCTACTTAGACTCAAAGGTACTCCGCATGCATGGATGTCTTTCATTTGGAAGGCCTATATTCCTTTAAAATTCTCGTTCATAATGTGGCTTGCTTACCGAAATAGACTGCCCACATATGACAACTTGATTTACCTTGATATTGTTAATATTTGTCCATTTTGTAAGGGTGGTCCGGAAACGGTACCACACCTGTTTTTTGAATGTTCTTGCACAGGGCAGATTTGGAAAATGATCAAAGAATGGCTTGGCATATCAAGACAGATGACATCCTTGCGGAGTGCAATAAAGTGGATCAAAAGAGATTGCAATGGGACGCACATAAGGGCTAAGGCAACAAGGATAGCTTTCGGCTATACTATCCATTGGATATGGAGAACCCGCAATGCAATTCGATTTGATGGAACAACTTTAAGGATGGATGACATGATAACACATATCAAGTATATGGTGTACAAAGTGCTCTACTCGATATACCCCTATCATATGATTAATTTTTGAACCAAAAACTCTTCTTTTTGTCACGGCTTGATGGCTGATTTTTTGCTAGTTTGATGATGTTTAGGGGATGCTCACATAACATCTGATGTTATAGGGTATCCATGCTTGGATATGCCTCCATTTTTGTCCATATCATGTACATAAACTTTGGTTACTATCTACATATTTACATTTCACCAAAAAAATGAAAGGTTCATTTTATCTTGATTAATTTCCAAAAATGTTATATCTATTATTCATAGACATAGTTTTACAATAGGGATTATTACCCATAAAATATACAACTTATTTTTTCCAAAGGCACAACGTACAAAACTTTACACAAATAACTCAAGTATTACATAAACATTCTCAATCATAATTCATCAAATTCCACAAAATCATTATCTCAACAAAATTTCTCGAATAGTACAAATATATATATATATATATATATATATATATATATATATATATATATGTGTGTGTGTGTGTGTGTGTGTGTTTCCGAATAGTACAAAATTTCTCGAATAGTACATATACATACATACATATATATACATACATACATATATATATATATATATATGGGATGGTTCAAATACAAAGACCTCTTCTCATTCATATTGAGAATGAATCTTGTGCATTCATTTCCACATCTAATGGCTCAAAATGAGCCAAAATGCACAAAATTCGACCAAAATCGTGGTGGCAATTTCGTAAATATGTTGCACTTTTTCGTTACCGCGAAAAAGTGCAATAGAAACACGCAAAAGTGAAAGTGAAACATGCAAAAGTGCATATCTTCGCACTTTGCACGGGAAGAGGTCTTTTTATTTGAACTCTTCCCTATATATATATATATATATATATATATATATATATATATATATATATATATATTTAGCCTGGCGTGCGCTTTGCGCGACGGTTGGTGCCCAAGGTTAGAAAAAAATAGGGAATTTGAAGTGTACAAGAATAGATGCAAACATATTACAAAAGGTAGGCGGTAAAACATAGATAATGATGTCCATTACAGAAGCAAGGGGAATAAGAAGTTTAGTTGAAATGTTTGGGATAGTTAGATGTAACAAAACGTTATAGCAGTAGGTAAATCGGGTAAAACATCACACGAGTGCGAGTCTAAGAAGAGCTAGAACCGTCATAGCATGTAGCGCTACTGATCTCGTATGTGTTGTTGTGTTTTGGTACGTCCTCTAGACCACAAGATGAAATGGCAAGCAAAAGTGCTCTCCCACGCCCGTACTTCAGGAAGAAGAGTGTGGAATGTTTGTTTAGTTCAAAGGTGAGATGGATTTGGCGCAATATAGGGTCTTCCCCAGTTACAAAATAAGCGTCTTCTGTGCCATGATATACCTGCAAGTGACCCCTTATGTCACTGCATGAGTGCAGGAAAACTTCACAGCAATTCTGCATAAAAATAATGGAAATGCAATGTATCAATTGTTGGAAAGAATATATTCAAACATGGAAGTGTAATATGCGGTTATCGTGACAATTTATTGGGTGTACTTGTTATTTGAATGCATATGCTTTATGAAAGTGACAATAAGAGGGGATGCACAAGAATTAAGTGGGTGTTCAATATTTTGGAGTTGATGTTTTTGAAACTTGTTGACTGGCGGCATTAACAATTGGATGGCAGACATTCATCATTAAAGAACTGTTTAATTACATCTGTTTGGAAAACTGGTAGTGTGAAACAAAAGGAATGGAAAACAGGCCATTAAGTTTTTCTTGTAGTCTGGAAAGGCTGAGGATGATTACAAAACTTCATTCAAAAGTTTTCTATGAGGATTGTGTAGAATGGAAACATCAGATAATTAAAAACCCGTGAGAACTTTGTGTTGCAAGGCTGAGGGGGATAAGAATGGAAAAGAAAGGGGATGGGAAAAGAGGCTATTAAGTTTTTATATAATATAATGGTAACAGAGTGGCCTAGCCCCCTACCAACTTACCCCAAACAGCCATTCTTATATTGCGGCCTTCCTGCATCTCTGTGAATCCAGGGGGGTTGCCCCCAGTCTGGACCTCTTTTTCTAGAGCTTCAACCTGTGCCAGGGGGGCATGCCAACTCCGAAGGCTATGCGATCCTTCAACAGATTGCCCAGTGGAGACTTTTTGACGACGTGCCCTCGTCCCACAAGGGCTGGAGGGACCGGTTTTGTTATGTGAAGATGTCGGGTAATCCATTCCCGAGGGAATTGCGGGACCGTTTCAGGAGACACCCGAAGGTGGGGAGTGCTGCCCTCGAGAAGGCCAGAAAGATCATCTCTCCTATCCCCGAGGGGCGCAAAAAGCACATGATGGTCAAGGAGTTGACCCTCGACGATGATTTGTATGGGCTAGGCTTCCGCCGTTTTTGTTACTTAGGGGAGATGGATGCTAAGTACCCCATCCTTGATCATTTTGTAGGAGGTAGATCTCCGAAGGCTTTGCCTTTTGTACTTAGGATTTTTGCGTAGATTAATTTCTTTTCTGACCCTCCGGTCTCAAGGGCTTGAGGAGGAAGCCCTTTAGTCCAAGATCCTTCGATCTTCCCTCACTGTAAGTTGTCTCCTTTGTTTCCATTTTGCCTTAGAGTACTTTGTATGGTGTCTTGATCCCCTTGTTATCTTCAGGCTTGTATTGCCCTCAGTGAGCAGGCTCGAAGGCTAAAGGAGTGGCGCCTTCAGAAGGCCCAGGATGCTGAGAAGATGAAAAAGCTGATTCATGACAACCATGACGCTGTGAGGCGGATGGCCCAGCTGGAGGAGGACCTTCGGCAAGCGAGGGAGGAGGCCGAAAGAGCCAGAAAGGAGAAAGCCGAAGTTGCCAAGGTTGTTGTCGAGGTCGTAGAGAAAGCTGCTGACGAGGCCGAGGCAGCAAAAGCGGAAGCCGTTGTCAAAGCCTGGGAGGACGTTGTTGCCGCCTTTCATGTTGAGGGTTGGAAAGCTGAGGGAGAGGAGGAATGGGTGGTCTCGGTAGTTGCGGCCTCGGTGGATGTATGGGTTAAGGGCCCCGGGATTGAGTGAATGCCTGCCTTCGGGCCTTTTATACATAATTTGCTTCTTTCTTTGAATGTATGCTTTCGTCTTTTCTTTGTGAAATGAATGCCCTCGAATTTGCCTTGTGAATGAATACCTTCGTACTTTGATGTTTGAGTTGTCAGTTGTTTAGGACTTAAAAAATTTTCTTAGTGTTGTTCTTCCACCAAGCCTTCGGTTGTGTGGACCCTCTGGCTGCATGGAGATTTGACCGAGAGCCAAATATTTAGGACTTAGGAAATTTCTCTAAATGTAATTTTTCCACCAAGCCTTCGGCTGTGTGCCCCCTCTGGCTTTATGGAGATTTGACCTAGGGCCAAATATTTAGGACTTAGAAAGTTTTTCTAAGTGTAGTTTTTTCACCAAGCCTTCGGCTGTGTGGCCCCTCTGGCTGCATGGAGATTTGACTGAGGGCCAAATATTTAGGACTTAGAAAGTTTTTCTAAGTGTTGCTTGTCACTTGGCCTTCGGCCTACGCCTTCCCTTAGTTGCATTGAATGGCTTGGCCTTCGTTGCATGATGGGTTAGCTGAGGGCCAACCATTTAGGACTTAGAATATTTTCCATAATTCATGATTTGCCCCTCGGTGAATAGACCCTTCGATTTGTAGTATCTTCAGTAAGAGATCCCTCGGTGAAGGGTGGTGGTCCCGGAGGCACCCAACTTTGTAGACTTAGAACAATTTCCTTTGGCTTGTAAGACTAACCTCCGGTAATGTGTGGGGAGGGGAGCCTTCAGCTTTTGGTAGATCCCAAAGTGTGGACTTTGGGACTTTTGCAGTCCAACCCCGGCATGAGACGCCTTCGGGCTATGCCTGGGATCATTCCCTTCGGTGCTTAATGAGATGCCGAGGGTAATTGCTGCTTGGATTTAGAAAATTCTGCAGAACATTTACATCGTGGTAAGGGCCAAGTAGGTGCCTTCGGTATTCCTTGAAATGTTGTTGTCTGGAGTTAGCAAATTCTCACCTATCCATAGGATCAAGCCTTCGGTATTGGATGATGCCGGAGGCAGCCAGCTGTGGACTTGGCCTGATTTTGATAACTTTAGCCTTCTGGAATTAGTAACTTCCTGGTACCGGAGGTGTTCCCGTGGGGAGCCCTCAGTATGATCTGTATTGTCTTGTGATGCCGAAGGGCTTCCTGTTGTGATTTGTTGAAGTTGTGTACTCATTGATTTCTCGCTGAGTCTACTCTCATTCACCTTTTTTTGGTAATGAAGGGAAAGCTTCAAGAAACTTGGTTTCTTGGTAAGGCTTGCCTATCGGGAGGCAACAGCATACACCATTAGCTCCCCACTCGGGTTAACCTTCCGAGTTCCGAGGGGATCGAGGGTCGTTTCCTGGGCATGAGACATAGTCTGTAGCCTACCTCCCCTTGGGGGATGGCACGGAAAGCGTCTCGGTTTTGAAAGTCGTTCCCTGGGCACGAGACATAGTCCGTGCCCTGCCATACCCTTGGGGTAATGGCGCGGGAAGCGTTCCGTTTTTGAAAGTCGAATCATGGGCATATTAGTTGCCTGCCATACCCTTGGGGTAGTGGCGCGAAGCGTTTCGTTTTTGAAAGTCGAATCCTGGGCATATTAGTTGCCTGCCATACCCTTGGGGTAATGGCGCAGAAAGCGTTTCAAGGAAGGGTTTTCATTTGCACACTGGTTGCAAATGGCCAGGGGCACTACGTACCGCCGGCACCGATAGGTGACGCCTTGGGTATGAATGCGTCCTCGAGGGGTACGGCTTCAGAAACAACACTTGGTCTTTGTTTCAGCCCCCGGTACATGGTTCTGAGGGGTCTTCAAAAGGAAACACTTGGTGTTTTCGCTGTCTGGAGTTGATAGGAGTACGTACCCTCGGCACCTGGTACCGAGGGATCTTCTTTAAAACACTTGGTGTTTTCCCTTATTTGTCGTATGTGATTGGAGTGTCAACCCTCGGCACTTGGTGCCGAGGGGTCTTGCAATAAGGCTTTGGGCCATGAGTCTGCATGAGGGCTTGGCCGCTCATGTGTGTCTTGTTTCTCGTTCTTGGTGTCTTCAATATGTCTTCAAATTTGAAGGCCTTGGGCCGTAGAATAATACATTCATTAGTTACGAGGGCTTAGCCGCTCTAACATTACTGATAAAATCTAACTAGATGGTGTACATTCCAATGTCGGGGGACCTCGGTCCCGTTGGGGCGTTTGAGCTTGTAAGTTCCCGGTTTGATGACGGCTGCAACGATGTATGGGCCCTCAAATTTGGGTGCCATTTTACCGCTTTCGGTTGGCTGGCTTGCTTCCCTTCGTCGTAGGACATAATCCCCCACTTGGAATTCTCGAGAGCGGACTTTGGCGTCGATGTAGCTTTTGATTTGCCTTCGGTAGTTTCCGCTCGTATGAAGGCTTGCTCTCGGCGTTCTGAGATATGGTGAAGGTCGAGGGCCATGTTGGCGTCGTTGCCTTCGGGATCATATTGGGCTACCCTTCGGGTAGGAAGGGTCACTTCAGTGGGAGCTTTAGCTTCAAATCCATAGCACAGAGAGAAGGGTGTTTCACCTGTTGCCCGCCGAGGGGTGGTGCGATAAGCCCATAGGATATTGTAGAGTTCTTCTACCCAGCCTCCCCCTTCGGCCTCCAGCTTCTTTTTGAGGCCCTCAAGTAATGTCCAATTGGCATTCTCCACTTGACCGTTGCCTTGGGGGTAAGCAACGGATGAGAAGGTGTGCTTGATGCCCCATGCCTCTAGGAGGGCACAGAAGGGGGCTGCCTCAAATTGGGTCCAATTGTCGGAGATGATTTGTTGGGGGACCCCAAACCTTGTGAGAATGTTCTTTAGGACAAAGTGGCGGCACCTGGCCTCAGTAATGCTGGCGAAGGGCTCAACCTCCACCCACTTGGTGAAGTAGTCAATGGCAACGATGATGTACCTGTTGTTGGAGGTACCTCTCGGCAGAGGGTCCACAAGGTCTATGCCCCATCTAGCGAAGGGTATAGATGTGCTGATGGGGGCATAGTTGACCGCTGGCCTTCTGGGGGCTCTCTGGAAGTGTTGACATGCGGTACACCTTCGGGCGAGATCCGCACAATCTCGGGCCATCGTAGGCCAGAAGTAGCCCTAGATTATGAGCCTTCGGGACATGGAGAAGGGTCCCTGATGAGCTGAGCAAGTGCCACTTTGTACTTCCTCCATTGCAACTTCGACTTCATCTTGATGAAAGCATCGAAGCAGTGTGCCGTTGTAAGATCGTTTGTAGATCCTTCCGCCTTCGATGGTGTAACTGAGAGCCCCCAGCTTCGTTAACTTGGCGCGGGACTCATCCTCCGGCAGTTGCCCGGTGTTGATGAAGACGATGATGTCTGAGATCCAGTCCTCTTGCCTTTGCTGAATTTGCATGACGGGGCTGACGTG